TATGTTTATGCAAATCAACCACTAGAGGGTAGCAAGTGATAGGACAGGTGTTCCTAAAGTAACACAACCCAACAACTCACAAGGTTGGCTTTGTTTTTATTTTAATTTTGGTAATTTCCGGGGAAAAGTATCTACTGTTAAGAATTTGTAATACAAAGAGGCTTGGTATATGTGCTTATCAAAGATCGGAAAACAATACCACAAACTCAATGTCAATGGACGCATCCATTTGGTTGGCGTCATCCCTTTCCACAGGCTCCATACGGGGTGTCACAGCAAACATCCTGAAATGAACTGACATAGAAAAAGAGTGGACTTAAGACTTTACTTTTTGATAAAGCTTATAGTTGGGGCTGGCTCAGGCTTACTTTGGACCAGCCCCTAGTCATGCTGCTATAGGCTTAGACTGCCTCTCTTTTCCCCTGCCTCTCTATCTTTATGCACTAATGTCCGATAAATGCATGGTAATAACTTGGCAACTCCACATTTTTAGCGCTCTTTCCTCTTGCAGAAAGGCACATTTAATCGTTGCACCTTTTGGATTGTGGATTAACCTGTTGCAGTTCTCCTGATTGAGGTCCACTGTCACTACTATGTTTTAAAGGTCCCCTATTATATTATTTTTCAACAATATATTATAGGTCTCAGATATATATAAAACATGTCTCTGAAGTGTTTGGCTCGAAATACTAAACAGATCGTGCATTGTAGCATGCCTTAAACCCCTCTGTTTCATCCCTGTTCCCAAAGTGATGATTCTGTGACTGTAGCTTTAAATGCTAATGAGTTGCTGCTGGCCACGCCCCTCTGTGAGATATTTGGTAAAAAAAACACAATGGTGCTTGAGGAAGGTTTCCCATTTCTCTAATTTCCGCCTCCTCGACTCCTAGTAGTAGTGACCCGGAAATGGATTTCAGCACGCCATGTTGAAGGACATCTAATTTCTCTAAATGCACATTGAGGACCGAGGATCGAGCATCGAGGAGGCTCTCTGGAGGAGCTATAACCGAGGGTACATTGATGTATCCTCCACGGATCCTCCGGGGATGCATTTCCGGCAACAGTGATGTTTAAAAGAGTCGTGACGCACGGCCTGACTTATCTCAGCCAATGACAGCTCTGCATGCATCCCCTGGATATTATTTTATTAACTGCTTTAATCGTGACACGATGTTTACAGTGAGAACAGCTGTGAGGTCCGTGCAGAAAGCAGAGCAGTGTGTATAATATACATCACTCAGTATAACAGGCCTACTCTCTTTATTTGTATACTTTAGTTTAGTAGATATCTAAAAACAAAGAGTCGATATATTTCTAAAACCATTAGTATTTCACATAATAAAATACACAACGGCTGTATCCTCATATTATATGCTTTAGGAGCTGTAGGTGTGCGTGTTGTACAGTGTAGGCCAGGGGTCGGCAACCTTTTTGATATGAAGTGCCATTTAAAAAAAAAAAAATTATCAGCGTGCCAACGATCGAGAATTATCAACGGGGGGGGGGGATGTTGAGGAGCTTGACGCTCGTGATCTATCAACAGGAGGGCGGGGGGGCCTCGCTGCGGGGACGCAGTGTGTGGACCTGTCAGCGCAACTTACATGATACCGAATTTAACAACCACATTTAAATAATTGTTTTAAACGGCATAATAATAAGGACGATCGTCCGTTCTGTGATTCTCCAGAACACACATGTTATGATATTAGGGTCATGCAGAGTGAGATGAGATCGCTGTCCCTTTAAGAGAGAGAGAGAGGGGTTTGGCGTGTGCGTGTGAGTATGTTTCTGGAAGTGAAACGAGGCAGCAGAAAAACAGAGGTCTGTGATGTATTTTGTGAAACAGAAGAACAGCTAAATAAATGCAACGGCCTCTCAAGAAGAGCTCGCCTCTCTCCAGTCATTTAAGCTAAAGTGGGTTATTGAACCTGAAGCTCGTTGCTTCTGCCCTCCTCGACTACGGTCTGGGAGCCGACAGGAAAGTTCAACACACAGATGGCCAGTCCGCCCCTTTGTAGCATATTATTTCAATGAGAGATGAGCAGATCGCCACTGGGCTTTCAACTAAAGACACACACAGCCACGCAAAAACTGCGACATTTGTAAAGCTCCTTATGGGTACTGCAATTTGTGAAGTGCTTTCTTCCGTGGTGAAACGATCAGCACTGCACCACGGAGGAAAGCGGCAGAAAGTCACCTGGAGTTAAAGAGAGCGGGGCTGCGTTGCGTGCATGGCTTCCTTCTGCAGGTAACGGGGAGACGCGCTCTGGCGGCGGTCTCGTTCAGGATCCGAAAATACAATTTAAATATTTTGCACACTTATTCGACTTATTCCTAGTGTGCCACTGGCTACGGTGCCGCGTGCCAATGCTGGCACGCGTGCCAGGGGTTGCCGACCCCTGGTGTAGGCTATAGGTGTGTGTTGTACATAGTGTAGGTGTGTGTGTGTGTGTGTGTGTGTGTGTGTGTGTGTGTGTGTGTGTGTGTGTGTGTGTGTGTGTGTGTGTGTGTGTGTGTAATTTAAATTCCCCATTGTAGCAAGAGGGGGGGGTATATCTCTGATAGTGTTACGTTATTATAAGAGTTCTCTCATACTTGTTTGATTCTGAAATTGTATATATATATATTTATATATATAAATATATGTGTGTGTGTGTGTGTGTGTGTGTGTGTGTGTGTGTGTGTGTGTGTATGTCCGCATCTGTACCCTGTTATTGTCTCATTATACCGCACTGTGAATGAATTAAAAGTAAATATATAAGTCGTCATGAACACATCTGTCCATCAGACAGAGGGCTGCTGTGCCTCCTGTCATCATTAATGGACGTCTCTTTAAAATAACCGCTCAGAGGAGAGGATTTCTCATTTCTCTAAACGCCTGCTGCTTCCCCTCCTCTCTCCTCGGTTCCCCTCCTCGACTCCTCCGCTCGCATCTCCTGTGGGCGGGACTAAGACACGAGGATAGGAGTCGAGGAGGGGAAACCTTCTAGGATGAGATTCAGGTGATAAGGTGGGTGGGTGTCACCTTGGTTGGTTATTGGCTAATGGTTGCACAACCCAAAACAAACATTGTGACATCACAAAGTGCCCTAAACCTGATCAGCTCATTTTCAGACCGGTTTTTATATAGATGGATCAGGACAAAAAGAGAAAGATTATTTTTTCCTGAAACTCTTAACACAGAGGGGACACATATTAATGTATAAAATACATTAAATAGTGGATTTTGCCTTATTGGTGACCTTTAAGTCATATCTTTATAGTTTTTATTTTTTCACTGATTAATTGGGACTGGTTATCCTAATCAGCCCCTTTTGGCACATTTCACATTTGTAATATGGGGCTTTATGAATAAATATTGCTTGATTTATTGATAATGAATTCACCTCTGCTGTTGGGGGTGTAGATGGTCTTGTCAGTTTGGATGAAGATATACCCAGACTGAAAGGAGACCATGACAACCTTCTCAAGCAGTCGGTCAGGGAACTGAGCTTGCAGATACACATACTGCTTAGTGTTGGGATCCTTACTGAAGTCTCCAGCAGGGATCTGAAATCATTATGAAGAAACACAAACAGTGCATTAGGAGCAGGGTGTATACATTATGTGTATTTTTTAATTCAACACTAGATCATCTTAGAAAATGCAGCAGAGTTATAGCGCATCATTTACCATTATCTGTACCAGCGCCTGGAATTTATTTGCACTGGTAAGCGTCACAGATGCAGTTGCCAGCCTTTTGTTTTTGGTTGGATGGTTCATCACCAAGATTTCCACCCTTTTGTCTGCACCTGTCTTGATGCAGTCTTGACATTCCACAAAAACGTTTTCTGCTGTTCCTACCCTCAACAAGTTGGGGGCAGACATCACCTCCCTGTAAAGCGGGGGCGGAAAAGAAGATATATATTAATGTGAATGTGATGTCACCGAGCAGAAAGAACCACATGCTGGATGTACTGAAAAAAAAGAGTTCAAAATATTAATTCACACACAAAACAACCTTTTTTAAATTAACTACTCACCTTGAATTAATGATGCCTCCATGGTTTGAAGTGTTTCAAATAGTAAAGTTTAAAAGAATATTCATGTGCTTTGGAAATTGTTAGCAAACAAATAAATATATGGGATACTGCATGAGTTGTGTGTATGTGCTTAAAGTGGTCAAATAAATAAACCCAATTGGTAAGAAGATAATTAAAGGGAACAGTAAGGGGGAGCAGAACATTTAACTTTAGGTTTCAATTCCCCCAAACTGCAGAAAAAAACTAAATCTATTTTCAAAGATGTGGATCATGAGCTCCAGTATGGATTGCACACACAATGAGTAATCTATTAATTACATTGACAAAGATCCAGCACTGGATCAACACAATATTTCATCATATCTCTAGACCCTTGCTCTGTCTGGCATTTTGCATCGTTGTGCAAACTCTAAACAAAAAATTAGGCCAACTTATGGCATCATTTGAAACACCACATGACCTTGAATTTTGTAACACAGAGTGGACTGTAGCCCCTCATTATGAAAGACACAAGTTAAGGTAAATCCAAAAGCTTTTTGAATAATACGAATGTAGCGACCACCAATAGTTGCTCCCATTACAGTTTAACCAATAACAACGTGTATACCAGGAAGATGACCAAAAACAAAAAAAGATATATCTTTGTTTTCTGAGAAATGATTCAAGCAGAGCTGGAGTGGGTAAAGGTACGACATGTCTACTTACAATGGAGCTCCATCAGCAAGAGAAGTCAGGGAGACGAAGGCCAGAGAGGCCAGCAGCCACAGCAGAGTCTTCCTCATCCTCCTACCTGATCCTGATCCGCTGTCAGTGAAGTGTCGCTGTGCAGCACCCTCCTTTTATCCTCTCACTGCCCCACCACCACCACCACCTCACCTCACGTAGTCTTTCTTTACACATGTACCAACGCAACCACATACACACCATTTCCCAGCAGCAGTTGAGTAACTGATAAACATGAGGTCCACTTTGATAGTAGAAACAGTTGAAAATCAATAAGGGGGTAACATGTTTGATTAACTTTGGAGCATAAAGTTGAATGACCAGTTCAAAATGACTGTCAAATAACTATCTGCATTTATGTTGTTTTTAAATGTGACAACTGGTTCTTCTTTTCTTGTTTGGGAAATGTTACTAATGTTTAATTATTATTCTGAACCTGCACATAATCAATAATACTGAACATGCACACTAAGTCCTAAGGTAAAAACTGTTGAGTAATACTTGGCAGGGATTTTTTAAGTTTCAACAGTGGGGAGTTTTCACATTTGAAAGTCTGAAGAAAAAAACGGTTAGTCTGTGAATCTTTATTTTATTCTGGGAATTTTATAACTGTACAATTTCTTTCAGATATTCAAATCATTTTATGGATCAGTTTATTTGTGATTTGATTTGGGATTTTGCAACTATATTGAAATAAATAACAATTCAAGAATTAGCTATATACTAAAAGAAGGATGCCATTGTTTGATGGATATACTTATATTCTTTTCACATACAGGTTAAGGTTTAGGGTAAGGCATAAGGAACATTCGGGCTGGCAATGAGAAGAAATCGTCCGGTTACGTATACTGATAATAAAACAAGACAATCACATTCATTAAAAGGCCACATCTTTTCATTTGACATTTATCAGTTGGCCAGATTTATGTCAAAAGTTCAAAGCTGGCTTAAATTGTTGTTTTTGCACCTTTAAAGGTTAGACACCATTGTTTGGTCTCACATCTCTTATGAGTTTACACCTAACAGGAAAGTAAGAAAAGTAAATGACTCTGTCTACAACTGCTATTGTAGAGTAAGCTTATCTCTCTACAATTTGACATAAAGTCTTCATGCTTCCATTCATTATTGATAAGCCCCATACCACTATAGAGCCATGGCGTGTCTTTGTTCTGGATGTCAGGAGTCCTACTATTTGGAAACAAACAAAGTTGTTTGATTAGTAATAATGAAACTAGGCCACGCCAGAAAGCAAATTGTCCTTGCTGACCAACAGCAGATCTAATCTCGTAGAAGGCCTATCTCTCTAATTATTAAACCGATACCAGAGAGATTGATGCTTTGGAAAACACAATCAATCCAGGTTTCTACTGAGAAAGGTGGTTTGTGTTGCAAAATTCAATATAAAGAATTGAATGGAAAAATGAAAAAAAGTCTGAAAATAACATTTCATTTGAAATGTAGATAAACAACATAAAGACATGCACAGAGTAAAAAGTTGGAGAGATAAGGAGCTGTTCCTGATTGGAGGAAATGGGACACGTGACCGTGCTCATTTACGTGTGGACAGGCAGGTGAGCGTGGGAGAAAATAGTTTGAGCTATGTCGCGAACACACCAGCACCTGACGGGATTAAGAGTCCTGTCGCTTTGCCAGAGCATCTTCCTTTGAACCAGGAGTCACCACAGGCCGTCGGTCCGCTCACCTGGACGGACGCTCAGTAACCGGAAGGTAACTCCCTCTGAATGTATCCATTATCCCCTAAAAAACGTCAACACTTAACCTACGAGTCGAGCCTCTTATTATACATCCATGGTCGAGCCCATACGAAACATGTTCCGAGCCTCTTCTCGAGTTACAGAGCCTTAAGGGACTACTTTATGTCTGTACTTTTCAGCGGTTTACCTGGGCTGAGAGCACCGGTTAAACAGGTGCAGCAGGACCTCCTGCATTCCGCCGTGCGCAGACATACATCCGCCTGTACCACTATCAAACTTCAGTGGGTGTGTCCGTGTGTTTAGTTTATCAAGGATTAGGAAGGAAATGGACCTTTGTCATAGTTTGTTCACACGTTAACAATGATTTATAGCTATAACGTGAAAGGATGTAAGGATCTTAAATTACAAGTTTATTACTTTTTCGGTTCGGACCAGGCCTGCGTTTCACTTCGGTTAAATGGATTCCTTGCGTCCCTCACTTGCGTCGTTTCCCTGCGACTAGTCCCTCCCACCAGGGAAGCATGGAGAGACGCAAGGAAACCACGAGAAGCAGGGAAATGAGTTTTAAGAGCAATGGGACGTCCTTTCCTCCGGAGCGTCACGTGAAGCGACGTCCGTTTGTGATGACGCTGCACAGCTGATCGTCTGACAGCAGCCAGCTCTGTCCCCGTTATTGTCACAAACACCCCCGCCTCTGTTAGTACACATTTACTGACACAAACATTTGTATCATCTGTTGTAGACCCAAATAAATCAAATCAAATAAGAACTAATTCTCAAAAAAGATAAACGCCATTCTTAAAATGTATAAACGAACAATAGTTGGATTAATATTGATTAGAGTGCACAATAGAAATAAAATAATTGAGAGAAGAAAAAGAGATATGTTATCTATCAAAACCCAGTTAGATTAACATTCATTGGATTGCACACTTTGTCTGTTTGTGTGGATATGTAGCAAATTAACATGTTAAATAGCACTTAATGACTGACTGAATGGAAATGACAATAAATGAACATGTAAAACGGAAAAAGCGATCATGAAAATGTTTCCAATAAATGAATAAAATAATTTTTTACCACTTTGTTGTTCAGATATATCACATATTTGTAACTGAATGATGCATGAATTGAAACAAAACACAGTATGAACTGAGGAGTGAGTCCCGTGAGTTTCATGTGTTTTCTTCACTCCGCTGGGAAACTGCTCTCATGTCAAGAAGCATCAGATCAGTGCATGCGCTGCATCGTCCAATCAGTGAGCGATACACAGTAAGGGGGCGGGGCGAGTGTCTGAGGATTTCATCGAAGGATGGTCTGGTGGTTCCTCGATTATAGCTCCTCCATTATCGCTCCTCGCTCCTCCGGCAAAAATAAGGCCATTGGGACGCTACTCAAGATGGCACAGACAAATCAACTTCCGGTGAGACCGAGACCGAGGAGCGAGGAAATGAAAAATAAGAGAAGTGAAACGCAGCCCAGGATGTTTCCTGTAGTTTAAGTGTTCTCTGTACATACATTTACCAGGCAACATATTCATTTAATTTGACGCGTTAAAACTTAAAATGTGAAGGTTGAGGTTATTTTTTTAGCTCAGGCACAATAATGGTGTACTTTATTTTAATTATTTGTTTGCATACTAGTTTGCGTTAACATATAACATATAACAGTTATTTTGTATTACAAAATAACTTATTGCAGCACTAGTATGCAAACGCATACATGATTGTATTCTTTATTCTTTGGTCTAGGAACATTTAGAAATGACTGAGAAATCAAAATCGCAGCATCACAGAGAGAGCCTCACACTAATCTTAAATAGTTGTGAAAAGCCTCAAAACTAATTTGATATGTATTTACATGGAAAAGAAGCATCATATTTGACTACCTGTAAAAGTGCATTTTTTGTGAGCAAAAAAAGTGACTGAAATGGTTTTTGATTTTTAAAATATTAACATTTATCTGTTAGTAGGTTAACAGAATAATTGTTAAGCTGCAATGCTTTTTCTAAATCCACATTTCTTATTTGTGTTTACCCTTGCTAACCTCAAGCGTATAGGATGTGTTGTTGGCCTTTTGTAGGCAATACACTAGCTGAACAGAAACTACAACAGCCCTAAGGAATGTAATGTAATCCAAAACAACAGCACTGCTGCAATACTGCCTGTGAAACATTAACTTTATTGTGTGTTTTAGAAGAGAAGTGTTCACCTGTGGTTTCAAGTATTTACTTCCTGGAGTTGTTTTATTGGACTTAATAATATTAAAGGTTTAACGTACATGGGACAAGAGTTGTTTTGTAGCCCGACTATTTTAGATGCTGTCTTTGATCTTTTGACTAAGTCGTTACAGTGACATATTTGCACCTCTTCAACATTTAGCTGTCTTGCAGTCAGTGTTTAGAATAGAAGCCCGAAACAAGAATATTTACTTACCGTTTGCTTTTATAACTCTTGGTCATTGAACTGTGTTTTTAGTCTTTCTCTGAGCTTTAACTGTCTGCACCACACCAAATAAAGTCAATGTGTGCACTTGAGATGATGGTCTATCCCCCTTCTCATCCAAACACATGCTTAACCTTTCTTTTCTCCACAATGCGTGGGAATAAAACACGATTTGACATGAACTTGCTATTACTAAATGGGGACTGACTGTGATGACACCCATTTGTTCAATGCCTGATTTGCTTTCTTTCTTATTTTTCAGATTCCTCTCTTTTGTTTCCATCTTAACAGTGTTGGTCCAGATGTAAGGGCACAGGCCTCAGACCTGATCAGTACTTCCTCATCGCCAGGTAGGTTTTTTTTAGGACTTCACACTGTTGGATGATCTCATCCCTGTATACCTGTTTGGGGATCATTTCATTTAAAGGGTCGGTTATTTCCTAGAAGGTTTCTTGGAAAGGAGTAATGTATCTTTGTACTAATAGAGTGGTGCAGTGACGCATCCTAAAACCCGGAAGTAAGTTCCTTCCGGTTCCCTCGACAAAATAGCAATGCAATTTCTTCATAGGATTTTGGAAAATAGCTCGAAATAAGGTCTGTGGAGACGGATCACGTTTTGTTCAGTCGGATAATCTCCACATGTCTACCCTACTTTTATAGATTTATGATCGATAGAACCGGAAGATACCCATGCGCAGCTTACTTCCGGGTTTTAGGACGCGTCACTGCACCACTCTATAATAAGGAAAATAAGTCTGTATCACACTGGATAAGTATGGATCATGATTTAAAAAATAGGTTTGAACAGCGATTAATTTCCATTCTGGGACAATCATCAATATCCTCAAAAAAGCTGTCTATCTCAATCAAGGAAGTGAAAATACAACTTGCTTTTAAGCATTCATCATGTAGGGCTCGTCCAATATTGCTATTTAAAAAAGGTATTTATTCTTAATTTATGAATTACGAATACCATATTAAGGATTTTAAGACAAGCTATGAGATATTTTTACAGTATGTTTTCATCTTTTTATCATATTTTGATGATTTAACAGTATCAACAATTGTGACACTTTAAAATCTTTCCATTTGCCTACTTGTAGACAAATTATACATCATTACTTCTTCAGTTGACCTACTAAATAACACAAATATAGGTTATGCTTTAATTGGAAGCTACCAATTGAACACCTCCAGTATCAAATTGCTAAGTTCTATCCAGGAAACGGTTTGGATATTGCGCACAAAATCATTTCCTAGACTTTATTTAACATGCTGAATGAAACCAATCAATAGTTTGATTTGTAGTTATACATTGACTGACCACCGTGATTCCCTCCCCAGCTGTCTGTCACCATGGTGATGCAGGTGTTGATGGCCCCTGCTGTGTCCGTCCTGGTTTCCACCGTGCTGTCGCTGCTCAGCCTGGCTCTGCTGCTGCTGCTGTGTGTCATCAGGAAGAAAAGGAGGATGGAGGGAACATACAGGCCCAGTGCGGAGGAGAGGAAACAGACGGGATCGGGCGAAAAACCAAGCCTGCCTCTCCCGTTGCCGAAAGAGGAACGCCTCATATGACAGACGTTTGGAGATGGACCCACCCTCTGTCCCTGTGTATCCTGTGGATCCAATCCTCCTGTTCTCTGACGTCTCTGTGCTGCGCTCCTCTAGAATGATCTATGTTTGCCTTTGGCGCCAGAAAATCTTCAAAAACACTATTTGTGCTGCACGTTTTTCTTCTTGGGGACAACAAATACATAGATCAGACTTTCAATCAAATCCCCCGACTCACTGCATGGGAAGGGAAAATATGTGTCATCTCAGATCCTGTTGTATTGCTTCATAAAAATCCCTCACTCCCTTTGTTTTGCCGGATAAGAAACATGAGCTGAAGTATATTTTGTATTGTCGAGAAATGAGTATATTTTACTGTACTGTGTGTTCTGTGTATTTATATCTAAAACATTTAGTGTTTTACACTATTTCCAGTTATGAAGGATATTGATTCAAATGATTACTGTGATGCACTTTTATGTCAAGCTCTAAGAAGCTCAATTTCTCTAAATCAGTATGTGTGGTACGCGAGGTGTTCTATTAATAAACCAGGTATGAATACCTTTTTTTACCCAAGTCTTTGAATATTGAAGGAAACGGGACGTTAGATTTTCAAAATAGTTTGTTTATTACGCTTTAAGTTATTCATATTCTGTGTGAAGACCAAACATGCAATATCCTCATTGTCAGTTATAGTATTTAATAACTTTCTCACACACCTTATAACAAATATTCATGTATCAATGACAAATGGGCCATCATACAGTAGCAGAAATGCAAAACATTCATGTATTTCTTTAATGTCAACTACATTTCCTAGTTGTACAAATCTGTTCATATTTGGTAAATCTTGGCAAAGTTCCATAAGATTTTCTTGACAACTTCTTGACAAATATACCAAAAATGATTAAAAACACTCCACCCCCCAATAGTCCACAACAAATGCGCAACCTATTGAAGTCTGTATAATACTTTCCTAAAGCTACAATCCTTTTTTAGGTTAACTGAGTCATTTTAAATAACATGAAACGTTATATATGTCCTATTTTTAAAGCGCTACAAAGTTAAAAAAAAAAGGGCATGGGTCACAGATATGCAGGAGTGATCAGTGCTGACACACTTGCACATTGCTCATGTTGGTGTTTTTCATTGGATTTGTTAAAATACAAATATAATTTAGGCTTCAAATCTCTTTTTAAGCTCAGACACTTTGATCAGAGGCGGTTCGTCCTCACCATGCTCATCCTTTGAGACATTTGAGACACATGGCGGGTGAGTCTGTGTGTTTTCCCTGCTCCAAACTGTGTTGCAGGGTCTCTCAGGTTCAGACCGTTCCTGGATCCTGGACTCCACCTGAAAGCCGCGGCTCAGCGCCTGGAAGCGTGTTTCAGCAGATATCACTTTAAGAGGAGAGGGGGTCTGCCTTGTGTCTTGCTCCTGTTTCTTTACTGCTTCTTCTCTACTTTTTACAGGACCTTCTGGAGGGTCAACAATGAGACTTTGAAGCCCAGATGTGGGTTCCAGATTGTCCTCCAGTTCTTGCTGCTCCTCCGCAGCGTTGGGATGATGACGATTCAGTTTGTTTAAATCCTCTTTATCTTTCTCCTGCTCTTTTCCCTCTTCTCCTTTTGCTTCACCTTTCTGCATTTCATTTGTTACTTCTTCCAATTCTTGCCCCTCAGCTACCTCGTCACTCTGTCTTTGTTCGCTTTCCCTCTCTTCTGTCAACACTTCATCCTCACCATTATCACCTATTCCTATCAATTGCTCCTCTCCTAAACTCACTCTCTTTTCCTGACCCACTTCTTTTGTCTCTTCCTCTAATTTCACTTCCTTAAAGTTACCTCCACCATCTATTTCTTCTTCTTTGTTCCCATTTATTGCTACCTTCACTTCTTCCTGTTGTCCTCCTTGTTGCTGTCCTATGTCACACACTGCCAGCGGACTCTCTGTCCTGTCCTCCTCTGGTACGCTGGTGTCCAGGCACAGCCAATCAGAGTCCTCTGTCAGGTCTGACTGCTCCTCCATGGTTTCCACGTTCCAGCTGTGCAGGCTGCCGCTGCCGCTGATGGACAGAGACAGGCTCTCTTGGCTCGGGTTGGCTGGAAAACAAACCTAGAAAACACAACGGCATGAGTAAGACCAGTGTGTGTTAGACCCTCAAGCATTTATCTAGCCCTCATCCAGTCACTTAAAGCACTTGACATTCACATGCTGAGGCAGAGGTAATTCAAGGTACAACCTTCTCAGGGGAGAACAACATTCACACACTGTTGGCCATGCCATTGGATGCAATATCAGTTTCAGTATCTTGCCCAAGGACATCCGACATGTTGGCTGCATTGGCCAGGAATGGAACCAATGTATTCCGATTGGTGGACGACCCTCTACCTCACAAACATCCGCCACCTCATCTTCTTACCTTCCTGATATAGTCATGGCTGTCGGGTCCAAACAGATCCAGGCTGCGTGTGCCGTACAGGTGGCCGCGCTCATTGGAGCTCCGGGAGCTGAGCGTGTCAAAGATCTCCCCCAGCAGATCCATCTCCTCTGGGTCACACAGCAGTGGATCTTCCGCATCTTCCTCATCCTTCTGCAGCTCAGAGTCCAGCTCGACCACAGGCCCAGAACCAGCTCTGATACACAGAAATAACAAAAGAGTAAAACATATTTTTAAATATATACATAAATCCCAGGGTTTTCCCACTTTTCTCCATCTCTCAGTTTATCTCCGACTCTCACCCATCCCATGTGTCCCCAGTGTCCTGCACGTCTTCCTCGTCTCCAGGGGACCGTTTGTGAACAGGCCGACGGGGACGTGACTAGCAGGAGGCAACATGGAGTAACGAAGCAAAGAGAATGCAACATTTCCACAACAGAGGTGACAGATGTTGGGGCGGACCACAATAAGGCAATAGAAATGGAGCAAAAACGATGCAAAATAGCACAAATAAGAACATTAGTTAATAAAGAGGATACATGTGAATGGTATCTTGTAGGGGAAACTAAAAGTGCCACAATAATGCTTTCTGGCTTATGGACTAATCATTGCAAAAAAACATGGCCATTATTATTTGTATTATTAATATTTATCAATGCATTCATTTATGTACAGTAGTTATTGTATCTTATTATAATGTTATGTTTGTTACATTTTAGAAAGACATTTTTTAAATAAATATTTGATTACTGATGAGCTCTCACCCTCCCAAAGTGTTGAGTGATTGGCAGGCGGTTCTGCAAGCAGTCCGATTGGGCACGGCGGTGCTTCACAGATCCTCCCCTTTGCAGGGTGTTCTCTTCATTTTGGGTCTGCATCACACACACACAACAAATAAGTATTATAATAAATCAACAGCAGCATTTGATTGATCCCCGTAAAAACCAAAACCACATAAACACTGACCCACCTTGTGCAACAGCAGGTTTTTAAAACCAGACTTTGTGAGACCTTTGGCCTGGGAGAGATTAAAATCAGCATGAACAAATGTTTTTTATATGACTGAATTCACTTGCCCAATACTTACAAAAAAGACTCACCCTCATGTTTGCTTTGGACTTCATGTTAAGGATGAGCGCTCCTCCCCCTTTCTGTCAGAATTGTGCATACTGTATTTTTGGCAAGAACTTACAAGAATTAACTTTAAACGGTTTCAATAATAATACAAATAACTTACCTTTAAATTACCAACTAACTGTTGATAGGATTTGCTTCTCCCTATGAGAACACAACAACACAATGGGAAGAGAAGAGTGATACCTGAGTAATAAAATACATATTTTACACACACACACACACACACACACACACACACACACACACACACACACACACACACACACACACACACACACACACACACACACACACACACACACACACACACACACATACCTGCAGTTGTTTCACACTTTAAGACCTCCTCTTCATAGAGGTCATCTGGTTCTTTCCCTTTGTTCAGAATATCCAGGCGATCGTCAATGAACTACAAAAACACATTTTGATATGTTTTTCTAAATTATATTAAATGCTTACTCATGTACAGTAGAGTAATACCAGAATGACTTAGTCCAAGTAATATGATGTAGCAAACAACACCCCGCCCATTACTGTATAAATCAGCATCAAAGGATGTCAGAAACATTTTGAAGCAGCTGCATTTCATTTGTTTTCTCTGGACAAGCTCTTCTCCAGCTGTAACTGCAGTGCCCAGGAGAGGGCAGTAAATCACACGAGGCACAATGCTCACCTGTTTGAAGGACTGTAGATGAATGGCATTCTCTAGGAAGTGCCTCATGCTGGAAGACTTGTGCTCTACAAACAGTTCCTCACTGAACCACACCTCTCCCTCCTGTAGAAAAAAAAGTAGAGTGTTATTGACACAACAAAAGGCACATAGGCATGACGAGCTGCCCATATAAATAAACAAACAGAAATGCAGAAAACACATTTGAACTATTTAATCATTTACTGCACTGTTAGTATTGTTATTATAAAAACATGACATCAATAAGCCTTTTTGAATGATTGACCTTTTCACCCTGCAGTGCGTCCCTGTAGCCTCCAAACAGCAGAGCCTGAGCTTTGAGGAAGGCCCTCGAGACCCCGCAGCCAGGAGACACCGCCTGACGCTTCAAACACACCTTCAGCCCTGACATCTGGAGAAATATTTACATTTTTATCATGATTATGCTCAATAATAATGATTAATAATACTGTGGTGACTATTGCCACTCAATATCGCAGAGGGATTGGCTAAACTGGGTAAGGGAATTGGACGTGTGTAATCTCATTCACGACAACGTTTTTAGCTTTCAATACCATTTTATATCCAAAGAAAAACAGCGTGTGCATGGTACACGGTCATAAAACTGTTGCTCTTCCCAGTCCCAATCCCACACCTATGCCGGTAAGGTCACCAAAATACCCTTTGCCCCAATGCGCTATCTAGTGCTCAAAACCAACAACAAAAACATACAAATGGGCACAACAAATACGATTAACAGAAGAAGTGCCAAAGCTGCTACAGAGAATACTCTTTTTTGTCATTTTGACTTTGTTATCGTAGATTGTGTAGAGTGACAGAAATATAGAAAGAGAATTATGGTTGGGCTGGAACGTGTGTTCATACCACTCAATGAACTGCATGAACTTTTCAGGGTTAGGGTTAGAAAATAAAGAACCTTGCTTTTATTTCCATTGAAGGAATCTAGGTCGAAAGACGGACTTTTACATCCCAGTTTATTTCCTAATTGTAGTTCCTATGTCCATATGACACCTGTTATAATTCCAATCAAAGACCCATGAATCTATCAAAATATGCTTTGCACATTTTGAAACATGTATTTATCACTATCTCGAAAATTAATATAAATAATTAGGATAACAGCCTGATTCTGTAGTACACACTTCACATCCCAGTCATTATTTCCTTTCTTAGAAATAGTTCAGTGTGAGATAAGAGACAACCAAAATACTTTAATTTGACCAGACAAACATACATATACACAGAGTATTTATTACCACATCTGAAGGTATCCTTTTCAGGTCGTCAAAGGGGTTTTCCAGAG